GCCCAGTATTCCTGTAATCTATAGCATACTTCCTGATCTAATCCATACTATTACAAAGACACCAACTACCTTATCCATTACAAAGATAGCTTCCCCAATTATCACAGACATTTACCTTTCCTCACCTCTAATATCATTAGCTCATAGACATTTACCTTCCTCCCCACCGCCCCTGCATTCCCCTTCTGCTCTGAAATGTGATTTGTCCTTTTCATATGTGTTCACTTTTTTTTTTAATTGTATCCTTTGGTATATATGGTTGTGACTATTTTTTCCACTATTTGATCTGAGGAAGTGGGTCTGGCCCACGAAAGCTCATCATCTACTAAACCATCTTGTTAGTCCTTAAAGTGCTACATAGTCCTGTATTTTGTTTCATACTATTACAGGGTTATTTAACACTGAACACTACAGTGAAATCCAGTGGGGAAAAAGAAGACACCAACATTTTAAAAAACAACTTGCACAACAAATGTTAATCAGAAGAAAACTGCACACAAGGCAATGTTCTGATTTACGTACCATTATTCAGCAGATGGAAAAAATTTAAACTGTAGCCAGCATAGTTACTCCCTCCTTCCAGCAATTCTTGATTTTAAAATTAGGTTGACACTCATTACTACAAAAACAGGACAGGTACTCACAGATACAAACAACTTTATTAGGTTTTTCTTTAGATTTAAGAGCATCCTAAAGTAAAAACTGCTAATCATTTAGGCTCACATCCACAAATATATTTCTAAGTGTCTCAACAGTTTTGACTGCACTGCGATCCACAAAACGTAGGCCAAACGTATAGGCATGTACATTTTCAGGGTAAAAGTTCTTGCAGTGCCTATGTTTCTGGCTCTGAGCAGTCACACTGCTTCCAGGCACCTATCTCCTACCTAAATCCCAGGGCAATTCAAGAAATAAGGGAAGATCAGCATATGGCCCAATAACTCACATGCAGAGTCCAATCAAGTAAGTGTACTCAGAGGCAGCCTATTGGATTAGGTCTCTATCATTGTGGGTCAAGACCCTGGGTAAGGCTTACGACCTGATTTAGGAACAGTTGAGCATCCATAACACCCATTCTTGTCAGTGGGAGCTAACTAATAGGTTCTAATCTAAAACCAAGTGAAGCAATTGGGCTTTATATGAGGCAAATAATTCACTTGGGGGTTAATCCAATGGCATTTTGAAGATGACTGACTGTCCATGGAGTTTCATAGGTACTGGGTCATATTTTTGTCAACAGGAATCAGAAGGAAATTTAGGTAAACTTTGCAGAGAATTTCACCACAAATCTCTGGGATTTTAGCCAAAGTTAGTCATATCACTGTGAGGCTGTCCCATTTATTTTTGGTCTTACCTTGTCCTTTCCTTCTATTGTAACACTAGGTAGCATTATAAGATACATGGAGAATTATTTAAAAATTAACATGAACTGCTACAGCTAGACCAATTTTTATAAAAAACCTATTAAATCCCTCAAGTATCACAGCAGGAAACCCACAATTTATAGCTAACTACACTGCAGACATCACTTTTGCTCTAATTTTAAGGACATTTTGAATTAAATTATTTGAATACTTGAAAAATTAATGCTGAGTCTGATCAACTAAGTGTTATTGTTCATTTGTATGCTTCTGTGCAGAATGCTTTTCAAGAAACAGCTATTTGAGAAGTGTACTGGAATCCAACTGAGACATGTACATGTCCTGGCATGTGCCTTAATTCTTTAATACAATATACTTAAAGTTCTGAAAAATAATTTATATACTGACCTGCATTCTTTGATGTTATTGCATAATGCACTTTTTAATTCACTATTTGTTTGCTCTGCAATGTAAGTGGCTTAATGTGAGTGCTTCTGAACACTATTACATCAATTATTTCTTTGCTACTGAAGGCTGTGTCTAGACTGCATCCCTTTTCCGTAAAAGGGATGCAAATTAGACATATCACAATTGCAAATAAAGTGGGGATTTAAATCTCCCCCGCTTCATTAGCATAAAAATGGTTGCCGCTTTTTTCCAGCTCGGAGCATTGCCGGAAAATGCGCCAGTGTAGACGCGGATCTTTCGGAAAATAAAGCCTTAAAATGAGGGATAAGGGATCTTTTGGAAAAGGCTTTATTTTCCGAAAGATCCGCGTCTAGACTGGTGCTTTTTTCCGGCAAAGCTTCGAGCCGGAAAAAAGCGGCAGCCATTTTTATGCTAATGAAGCAGGGGAGATTTAAATCCCCGCTTCATTTTTCTAATTGCGATATGCCTAATTTTCATCCCTTTTACGGAAAAGGGATGCAGTCTAGACACAGCCGAAATGTATAAAGATTGATAATTGAGAAACTGAGTAGTCAAAGTATAATTTCCCACTGATTATCCTTATGTGCAATTTCAAACACAATTAAAATGTATTAATGACTAATTCATAACACTGTCCTTCTGTTTGAACCTTTCATTGATTAGCCTGTGAGAGTGTTGATAAAGGTTCCTGGTCCTGAATTCAACTCTGTCCTTACCAGCAATTATGGACATTTCTACTAACTCTTGAGTATTGAACATGCAATTAACAAGTCTTCTTAAAGTAAATGCACTCCTAATGTATGATGTGATCTAACAGATCACCCCACATGTACCTCCAAGATAAGAGAACTTTTGCTGTCTGTGACTGTTAAGTTTAAAAATCAACAATTGCAAAGAGTTGTGTTGTTTCAAGCCAAAGTCTCTCACTGTGGGCTAGATTCTTACTGGAAGATCAGCCTTTAGTAAGATTCAGCAAATAATTGCTCTGCTCCAGGAATCGTCCTGGGAAAGGTATGTTACACACAGTGCCACCTACCTCATCTGAAGAAGTGGACTACTCATTGTTTTTAAAGTTACAGATTAACACAGCTACTCCTCTGAGATGTTATAATATAGAGGATGCTGTAGTCATGAATAGGTCAGATTATGAAGGAGGCTGCCAGACAGCTCACCAACACAACAGGCCTCTTTCTTCTGATCCCACTGAGGAATACCAAAAGAAACTACCTGCTACATCTCTGAACCAAATCTACACAGATACATCCTAAGAGGTCCAATGAAGGGTATTCTATCTTTACCTAAGATCTGTAGACCTTAAATCCCAGATGCTCCATCATCTCAGGCATTGGCACCCTTACAGCAGGATTATCCAGCTATGCTGACACTCTCCTCAGACCTTATGCTACCAGCACTCCTACCTTTGGCCCCACAATATACCCACATTTTAATGGCTGACCTAGAACAGCATTTCTTCAGCTCCCGTCCCCTAGCACCTTCATTATATGGACCCACGGGAAGGAGACCCTTGAAGAATTCCACAAGGATTCCAACCATTTCCACCCCACCATCAACCTCAGCCTGGACTAGTACATACAAGAGATCTACTTCTTTGACACTACAGCACACATAAATTATGGTCACATGAACACCGCCCTATACTGAAAACTGACTGATCACTATTGTTATCTACATGCCTTTAGCTTCCATCCAGGACACATCACACAATTGATTGTCTATAGCCAAGCCCTAAGATCCAACTGGATTTTCTCCAATTTCACAAACAAAATCTTTATAAAGCATTCTTAAAAATTAAATATCCACCCAGGGAAGTGAGGAAACAGAGCCAGACAAGTACCAACAAGGAAGTATCAGAACACCACTCGTCATTATCTACAGCATCCCAGCTTCACCCCCTCTAGTGCATCACTGATAATCTTCAACCTATTTTGGAAAATGATAGGCCTTGGGAGACAGGCCAAGCCTCACCTGTAGACAACCTCCCAACCTGAAGCAAATACTTAACACCCACATACTCACCCAGGAACCTCCCCTTCAACAAACCCTGTTGCCAGCTCTGTTCACATATCTATACAAGTGACACCAACACAGGACCTAACTCCATAAGGCACAACATCAGCCACAGTTCATACAACTGCACATCTTCTAATGTGATATATGCCACTAAGTGCCAGCAATGCCCCTCTGCCATGTATATTGGTCAAACTGGACAGTCTCTGCGACAAAAGATAAATGGACACAAATCAGACAGTAACACACATAAACCTGTAGAGGAACATTTTAGCCTCTCTGAACATTCAGTAACAGATTTGACAGTAGTCATCCTTCTATAAAAGAATTTCAAAACCCACCAATTACAGAAAGAGACTGATGAACTGGAATTTGTTTACAAATTTGACTATGTCAACCCTGGCTTGAATAAAGATATTAACTGAATAACACACAACAACACCAATTTCCCGTGCCTTTGACATTAAAAACACCAATTTCCCGTGCCTTTGACATTCACATTTTCACCTCAAAAGCTATGAATGGGCCACACCCCGCCTACTTAATTAGTTTCATTAACATGGCCCCTACAATTGACAAGTAACTGTTTTTGCTGTTATGTATACTTTGGATTCTGTCATTTACACTTTATCTCCTATGATGGTGTGGGTTTTACCCACAAAAACTCATGATCCTATATATTTGTTAGTT